ATGCAGTGTGACGTAGCGCGGGGGCCAACCATCTTTCCTCGGAAAGGTGTTCCACTTCTACATCCTTTTCCTCCTGGGCTTTATGAGTGGCCTGGCGGGTGGAAGGGGCTCCAGGCCACCCGCCAGCAAAATCCCGATTTGCCCCTGCTCACGGCCCGGGCAATGGAAAAGCCTACGAAGCAACCCCTTCGGAACATTTCGGAACACAGGACTTCCTAAGAGCTCTGAACGTAAACGTGAAGGCGCAATACTAAACCAAACGCTTGCTAAGCATTTCGACCTTGAAAGCACATGAAATGGCAAAGGTCACAAGTGTGCAACAGGCAGCAGTATCTGTGCATAGCCTTTTCATTCAGGCCATCGGGGTGCAGACATGAATTCAGAATCGTTTCAGCAAGCGACGACACCAATTTTGCCCAGGTTCCTCGACAGTAAGAACGCAGAAGGAGCCCTGGCGTGGACTTCCACAGCTTCATGGTGTGGCTGCAGTCGTTTCTCCAGCTTGGTTTTGCATTGCTTGAGCTGAGGAGTCATTTCTGGAATTCGCATGCTGCAGCAACTGCTCAATGGAACTCCGAGAGGTATCTACTGGGGATTTCTGACTGCGCCTCGATTGAAGCTGCTTCAGGGGCCGAGTCGGGCAGCTGAAAGGTGTTCAAAGGTTTGTGTTTGGGCTCAGGGTCTACACCCTCAAACCTTTCAGTCACCAGGACAAGCCCCAAGCGTGCTGAAAACGAAGTGTAGTCAGCAGTTCACTGCTCCAAGACGTCCCGACGTAGTTCCACTGATGGACCCTCCGGCAAATACTGCTGCTCACAGGCACGGGCACAAGCTCTTGGCTTGCCAAAGGACTCGGCCGAGGACGAACTGAAGCAAAACATCGATCTTGGCGGGGCTTGGACCATTTTCCACAGCACAACCAACAATGCTTAGGGCGTGGCCCCTCATGAAGCTTGTGGATCCCCCTGGCAAAGCACACCACAAGCATTACAAGCCTTCAGATCCATAACCCGCTTGTGGTGAGAGCACGCTCTATCCATACCAGGGCGTATGGCAATCTAGCACTGCCATGCACTGCCAGCGGTTCTGCTTTAGTGCACGTGGGAGGACTTGGTGCTTGTCCGCATCGCCTGCCTAGCTCGTATCACCGACGAAATGGGTTATGTCAGTCTCCGAAGCAGCTGGGATGCCCTGGGCTCCCTGGTCACAACTGGCCGCCACCTCCCACACCGGTTTCATGCACCATGCCATACCGTAATATACCATGTCCACTTCAGGTTACCGCGAAAGGAACATCCTGACGGAGCACTTCCTGGCAGACGGCATCACAGACCGAGCGTTCATCTTTGAGTTCCTCCCAGCTTGCGCGGCTCGCTTCACGATAGGTCGTTCTGTGCATTTAGGCTAGATACCAGGAACAAGCGGTGGTGTTAGATTGTTTACAGCCTTCGCAACTTCGGATGTCGAAAGTTGCTGCGGCCTCAAGGTCTCGCAGGTACCAGATGCTAGATGGTACGGTACCAGTAAGCAGCTGCTAGCAAGGATGCGCCATTCTTGGTTACAGTAAGTACCACTCGATGCGTTCACTTCCCTTCAGGGCGGTGGTACAGTCCTTCAGCAGCATTGTGTCGCGTCAGCCGATTGACCTTCCTTGTGTTCTGCAGGTCAACCATGCACAAGTCAACCCGATCATCGGCCTAACCTTGATGTTGGAGGTGCGTTTGGTTAGCGCTTGCCGGAGTGGCTCAATGCAGCTGCGCAGACACTCACGGCTTCGCAGCACCACTCGTCGGCCAAAAGTCTAGCTGCCAGGTCCTCGTTGATCTTCTGAGCAATCTGGCACTTGCTCTTCCAGACCTGGCTGTCAATCCGGCTGAGAGGATGATTACCGTTGACCTATCGGACATGAGTGAATTTGCGGCTTGGAGTGTAAAAAATGTGTGTCAAAACGAATTTACACGCCAAGCTCTTGCAATGCTGTGCGGAGCTGGCCGAACCAAGGTGGCCGTCGTCCAGAACCGATTCGTTTTCCAAACTTGCATGGCGCGTTCACGGTTCCCGAGCTCGAAACTCTTTGAGCGTTTGCAGACGCAACAGTGGCCCTGCCCACTGATTAGGATTGGCAGTACGTGGCAGTGTGCTAGTCGTTGGTTCAGGTTCAACAAGGTTGGACACCGTCTTCGCGTAGAGATGACGGGCGGGAACTGGGCAAGAACAAGCGATGTCGACTCGGACATGACCACGCTCGCTTATGGCATCAAGGACGCCTAAGTGCAAAGTCCCAGAATGTGAGACTGAGTTGGCTTAATTCTGCACACCTCTGGACTCCCTCAGTCTCTCAGGATGTGTTCATGCGTCAGCATCCTGTCTGAAGTTTAGCCGCGGTTTAGCCGGGCAGGGGCACATCAACCTACACAAGTGCTAGCTGTTTAAAAACATGACAAGCTTCTCGCCTTGAATCGTTCTGTTGGGGTCTTGTGTTTTACTCGGCCTTTTCTTGCGGGGGTTGTGGCCTCAGCCTCGAAAGTGTAGCTCTCCGCCGAGGCAAGCCCTGGAATCCTTGGTAAGGCAGCACTTCAACATGACAGCGCTGGACAACTACAAAGACTACGTGCGGCGCGAGAAGTACTAGAGATACACTTGCATGTCGGTGATGTTACAGGATTTGTAGAGCAGAGCTTAAATGCAAAGTTCAGGAAACTTTCGGGACATCTGGGGTTCAACTTCTGGCTTTGCCGCTTGACGCTTGTCAGCCTGCAAAGCAGGCACGAACTTGCGCAGAAATATAGATTGAGCTTATAGAGCAGATCAGGCTTGCTGTCACAGCAGTTGGCACTCATCCAAGCCGAAAGTTTCACTGCCAGCCCCATGACTTTGTCATGAAGGGCGCGTCGAGTACAATGCTCTGCACACAGGGCGCAGTAATGAACAAAATCGCAATGATGCTGCGACCTCAAAGTTTGCAGATGAACCGAAGCTTCGGTAAGCTTCGGTAGTGGAAGCCGAGGCTTGCAGACAATGCGCCGCTGGACGCTATAGCTCCCAGGCTCTTGAGCTTCTGAAGACTTCCCTCACATGAGAGCGACCTTGCAGTGACTTGTGGCAGGCAGGGCTGACAAGCGGCGATGCCTGCACGCAGCCTTCTTGCAAATGGTTTCCCGGTTTCCCGCTGTTCGAGATTGCACAGTCTTTCCGATGCACGAGATCAGGCAGCATGTCACCTTTGTGAACTAGATGTGAACTAGATACAACAGGGCAGCATAGTCAGCGCGTAGTCTGAAAATGAGAGCTTTCAAGCCAGATGGAAACGAAATTGCTCAAGCTTGGGTCAAACAAGATGCGAACCGCAGATCTGCCCTCGTCCACTACCGTTACCCTAGCCGTGGTGCGAGTGGAAAATGCAGTGGGAGTGGTTGAACGGTTGAGTAGACAAAATAGTGCGGAATTGATTGAGCCAGAAACAGAGCGGATACTTTGAGCTATGCTCAAGGCATCGCCCTAGACGCCTTGTGGCTTCGTTTTGTCGAAGCACCAAAGGCCTTGTCCCGCCGGGACCTGGTCAGCTGCAGTTGGCGCACAGCTGCCCGACGTCTGCATACCCTGCAGCAGGGATACTTGGCAGCCAGACGAGGCCATGCATGTATGCTAACCTCCGTATGATACCTGGTAGATCAGAGTTTACCTGAGGGCTAAGAAAAGGCAATCAAAAGCAGCCGCAGCTCAGGACCCCAATGCTCATGCATCTTGCTCAACCAGGACACCGCAGCCTCAGCTTGCCATTTTTTGCACAAGTATTCACACATGCGCACGGCACCACACAATTCGCAGGCTCGCCCTGAATCCAGCCTTTATGCCACGCTAGGACGGACAGCAGCAGTGGGGAGTCAGCAGGCATGGTCATCTTGATTGACTACATGTGTGAAGTCTGCAGAGCCCCGCCTGTCACAACTGCATTCAGTGAAGGACATGTGTGCACTCAGTGCACTGAGCAAGAACTGGATGTCGCAAAGATGCTGTGTGGGATTGCGGGTGCCAGGGCATGTTCCCATGTAGGGCGTGAGCGCAACGAGGGTTGCTGCCTCAAATGCTAGCCGCCCGAAGCTCCAAAGCTTTCGCTTGACAATCACCAGGATGTCTAGAGTATTCCCGCGACCTTCCCCTTTGAAGCACGACTCGAATTCACACGCGGAATCCCCCGCTTTTTCCTGCAGGCACCCAGGAGAGCAACCCCACAAGCGAGGGGAGCCATCCTCCCACGACGTGGACGTGGGAGGCATGGGGACACCATGGCCTGTCATTAGATGCTCACTTGACATGATGGTTGCTACATGTTGCTACTCCTGGGGGGCACGTGGGGCGGCAACTGCTATCCCGACTTCACGGTGTGACGGTGTGACGGTGTGTGGACAGGACCCAAGCACGACATTTGAGAAAGCAGTCATGCTCCGACCTCAGCTTGAGTGCAAAAGCATGCGTGTGAGAAGCTGCAGCAAGTGCACGTTGATGTCATTGCCATTTTGATCCGTCAATCCGCGCCAGGATTGGAAGTCCTACTTCTTCTGCCCGCAGCCGCACTTCTTCCTGGCAAGTCGAACTTCTATCAATCTTGATGGCTTGGAGCTGTTCGTTAATCATGCCTTCTGGTTTCTGACTGCAAATGGCAGCAGCACAGACCAAAGGTAATTCGAGAATTCGAGTAGAGGCCAAGTGCCTGAAGTAACTAGTTGCATTTTTCTAGAATGTGTCCAGAGCGACACATCAGCGGGCTTTCCCGTGCTTGTTAGACTGCGAAAGCAAGCGCTCGATTCCATCCCTGACCGCCGTAGATGCTCAAGCCGGGCACAGGCCCCGCGATGGGCCTTTGCGGGGGTTTTGCTGCAGCAACGAATTCTTTTGGAGCAAGAAGAAGTTAACGTTGTCCGGTAAGTTGAACATCTGAAGCTTGCTGTGTATAGGCGAATGCATCGCATCCACAGCGCAGCAGTGTCGCCTTGCAACAGGAGAAGCAGCAGCCGTTCAAAAGCGAGAAGGCCGAAAGCCGGAATGAAAGCTTAGCCTTGACCAGCGCTTGCAATGTAAGGGAGGCCACGCCAATGGTAAAGCTGCGCGAACGGCCTTACTCGGCGCACAAACAACATCAGCAAAACTTTGTGCTCTTTGATGCAAGGCTCAGTATCGGCAATCGCCCCAGCCTTAGCCAGAAGCCTGACACTGGCAGACAAGGGGCGTTGTGATGCACCCACTGCACCCTGCAGCGGATGGCAAATCGAAGTAGTTACGCAAGGAAGTGACGAAGATGATGAGAACAGAGTGGATGTTATCCGTTCTGATACGCTGAGGAAGCAGTATTTGAAGCCCCTGCGACGAGCCTTGCGAGCGGAGATCTCAGACACGTCCTTGACACAAAGTCTAGCGAGGCATGAATCGGTTTGGCGATGCACATGTGACGTGGTGGAAGCAATCTGCGGAGTTATATGAGTCCTTGCTACTTCGGTCACGCTGCATGCCCATTGTCTAATTGTGCTGTCGCATTGTGCAAGCTGCAAGTTTGGCCCAGGATGGCGAAGTCGATGCTGGCGTTACGTTCTCATTGGCAGAGATTGCCGAACATTGCCCGAGACTTGTTGCAGAATCTACATCACATCATCCTTTTCAAATGCCGAGAGACGGCGAACACCCCCACAAAGTCTGGTGCAGCTGATTTCCACAGACCGGGTTTCGAGTGAAGCAAGCTGCCCCCAGGTGGCAATCGAAGCTACCGGGCTGCCAAGGAGGTTGGGAGAACACCTGAGCACGTGTCTTTTGACAGCCCCGTCGTGAACGCCAAATACTTTCCGACTAACAGCTGATATGACAACAGCGCCCTCGCTTCGCTCTCTTGGCCTTGACAAGTCCCATTTTGCAAGAAATAGTCGAAGCAACTGAGTCAATCCATGCGGAGTTGGTGACCTCCATGCTCCTGTTTAGAGGCATACATGCGGTTAGCCATCGGCAACCATCCATGGCCCATGGGCGTGCTGTCCCCAGCAGAAGTGGTGTATTCTTCCTTAATCATTGCTTTCGGATGTAATTAAATCTGAAGGAGTCTTGTCGGAACGAACTCGGCTCTTCAAAGAAGCTCTGCTTCGCGCTGGTACAAGGTCACCTTTGTGACATTTCACGATCGAGCAAATCGCCACAAGATTGGGGAGGGCGCGCAGGCACATGTTCTGGACGCAAGCGCCCCAGACAAAAGAGGTCAATGTTCCAATGGAGGAGGTGTCTTTTGCCAACTCAGGATGAGACAACCCGGAAGTATGTTCAAATGGTCAAGCGCCTGGTGACTTTTGCCGAAACTGTGAGGCATTGCGAAATCCCTGTCTTTTCTCGCAGTATCTCGCAGTGGTGCTTGGTGCGTATGAACTAGCTTTGCGACTGCAACTGCAATTTGTTTGTAGACTTGCAAGTTTCTGAGAACAACGTCTGCAACTCAGCAAAGTTGCAGATACTTGCTCTGAGGAAAGACGATGGCCAATAGATCCGACCAAAGCCGAGTGATCGCACATGAACCCGTGCTCATGATAGCGTTTGCTCATGGAAACTTCGGGCGCAAAGATCGTCACTGTGCATGTAGCTTCAGCTGCTGTCGCTGAAAACAGGCTTGCACGCTGGAGGTTGCACTTGCAAAGAAGGATGGGGTTTCCACGCAAGTGACTGGCCGACAATGGACATCTCGCCGTCGCGAGTCGCACGACAAACGAACCAGAATGATGGCCGCAAACAAGACAAGTCCAAACCTGAGGGGCGCACGACTATCATCATGAGCAGCTACTCATGTTAGCGATGTTAGCGTTGGCAACGACCGTGACACACAGCGCTGGAAGCTTGCCTTCGGGGATGCGGCCAAGTTAGCATCATGGCGACACTTGCCTGCAATTGGCAAAAGCAGTTGCTCAGCAATTGCCCAGCAAACGGCATTCACGGCGGTCACCTGGAATGAGAGATCAGTAGAAAGTCACAGACCTCAGTAATGTGTTGGCACGATGGGACTGTCAGTCGCACGCCAAGCAATGAGCAGCACCAAGGCTCAGCCGTTATGTGGTCGTCGCAGCAGCTTCTGCAGGAGCTGGTGCCTACCTTGGGACAGAGAAGGACACGATGGTGGCTGCTTATGTGACTGTGAGTCACATTAGATTACCGCCTTTCGGTAGTACCAAAAGCCACCCCATTAGGATCCGGCTGTAGAAATCTTTCGACTATTGACTATTCAAGGTCTGCGCCAGAACCCAAACCCTTCTTGAATTGCCTCGCCAACTCTGCTAGTGATCCGGATGAATAGCAATGCAAACGCAGGGGCCTTCAATTGCAAAAGTAGGCGAACCCCATAGTCTTCAGCAAAGGAAAGGTGAGGGAACGGCACATGGATCCATTGACGGGTTGCCGAGTAGTTCTTACAAAGTCTTGTTTGAGCGGCCTGGCCCAGCAAGATGCACCCTTGTGTCGCTCACCTGGCAGGTAAAGCAGCATGCAAGTGAACGGGGCCGTGTTAAGAACCAGCAGTCGCCTAGACTTGCGGCATGTGCTTTGCTTCAGCAATACTCCACATCTCAGATCTAGAAGCCTCTCCGACTTCGCAAGCAGATGGCCCAAAGGTCACCAAAAGGTCAAGTTGCTAAGTTGCTACGCTGCTGAGAACACAGAAGTCACCGAGAAGCTGTGTGTGTCATCTGACAAGATCGTTTGGTTGTCAGCGCTGGGGGGGTTGCAGCCTAGGCGAAGGTCAAAAGCATGCTCCGTGGCAGCACAACCGCAGATGTATGTGCAAAAGTGTCTGCCTGCTCTCAGCGGTAATGGGTAGATTGCGGTTGTGCACCTTGTACTGCTACCAGTGACTGCAGGTTAACCTTGAATCTGCACACGTCTGTACATATACATACGTACATGTAAGAAGTCCAATATACATATATATATATATATACTTTTTTACTTATGAGATCATGGATAAACGCTGCCTAAAATGGTTTCGATGTGTTCCTTTGGTGCAGACGCCGCTCCTTTTGACACAGGCTAGGATTTCGGCCTCAGCACGTGGACCTTTCATCTTCCTCGGCCGTTCTGGAGGACTCAGCATGAGGTTTTCCTCTGACAAAGGTCACCGGCGTGCGCCCGCATCTTCGTACGGACGTATGTGTACTTTTTGTGAATGCGTTCTTAGAGGGTCCTCGCAAGACTGTAGTCACACTGTAGTCTTTGGGACAAGCTGGGTATGAAGTTGAGCTCGTCTTCTGCTGCCGGCCCGGTTGGCGTTAGCTGTGGATGACGGGTTGTTCTTGGGCATCGTCTGTTTCTATGGGTATTTGTCGTCCGTGTATAGACCTCTTAACTTGGCTCTTGAGCCACAAAGTCCCTCACCTCAGCACACGAAGGAAGCTCTCAGACTGGCCAAAGCGACTCCGCAGCAATGCGGCGTGCTCTCAACGATTCAGTCAGGCCCAGCTTCTGTGATGTTCTTGCAGCTCCAAGCCTACACATGCCTACACTGAACACGTGTGCTGTGTGCCAATCAGTCCGCATGTGACACGTGAGTAGACAAGTTGCTTGGTGCTCGTGGGCTCGTCGGCCCCTCACAATAGTACCCCTATATTAAACGATCCCGTAGCCGCCCTGTATTCAAGTCTCTACCGAATTAGGCGGGGGTTAAGGGGGGGGGGGGTGTCGGAACCCTGAAGCAGAAACCTGAAGCCTGAACTCTTCAGTTGAGCGACTGTCTAAATCCCGCGCCTCTCTAGGTAGCCTTGGGCAGGACATTGGCAAATTTGCCGTGAAAGCGACACCTTACCCCAAAAGCGATACCCCCACATAAGAGTCAGTTCTATCCTCCTAACTTGAGTTGATTACCTTGCTCTATTGGGGAAGCGATGCCTGATCCCAAAAGCGATACCCTCAATGAACGTCCCAGCCGTGGCCACTAGGTTTTGCCACGCGCTCAGTTGCCCCTAAACCCTGACTCTGAAAGCCCGAAACCCTGTAGGGTTTATGTAGGGTCGAAGGACGGGCTGTTTGTTCGGACAAACGATAAGAACCCCCCCTAAGACTAAAACCCCTTCAGGGATTCGGGTTTTTTTCTACAAGGGAGGGGGGGAGGCGTTTAGAATTAGGGGGAAGTGCTTTCGTAGGCATGCAGCTTGGTCTCGAAACGTCAGTGGCCGCTAGTGTTTCTCGTTGTCGATGTTGTCGCGGGCAACGCGGAAGACTGAGACACGCCTGTCTTTGCGGATAGAGCAATAAACGAAACCCAGCTTCAACTAGAAAGACACTTAGCGTGCCACTACGCTCAAAGATAGGAACATACGGGCATTGGCGAGAAATCATCACAAGAAAAGGGCCGGTCAGACCCTCGCATAGTCAGCTACTTCTGCACAGAATTTGCCGTCAGATGCCCACACCGGCATTTGACCAGCAACCTTCGGCGTCTCATCCCCCCCGGCTATGAGAGCCGAAGAAAGGGGTTGGCCCTTTCGGCAATTGGTTTGCCAGTGCCTCTGTGGGGTCCGTGCTCGAACGTGATGGCAAGTCGAGAAATGCCGTCTAGATTTACCACTCAAGTGTCCAAGGAAGTAGCTTCTCAGGCAGGCCAACTGCAGATGTCACCACCATCTCAGATATGTTTCTCACCTACCACGTCGTAGGAGTACACCACTTTGACCACGCGTTGGTCATGCACATTAGCAGAGGTCTTCCTTGTCGCATTTCTGACCTGGTCAACAGAGACGACCACCTTCCTGATGAGATGACGGCCGGTTTCAATCATTCTTACCATCAGAGTGATGGTAGTTGACGAGCACTCGCCAGCCTTCGTGATGACGCAGATGGCATCGCATTGGCATTGGCCGCAGATCGACCTCATGCAATGAAATGACTAGCATGAATGACGGTAGGAATCGGCGCTATATCACCAGAAGCCAGATGCCCGTCAACCCGTGTGCTCGCCTAGTAGAATCGGGTACGTGCAGATGTTGTGAAAAACCGCCACTGGAACTCGCTTAGCTGGCCCTCCCAAGGAGGCCGAGCTCAGAGCTCAGCGCCTTAGCAACAGTGCACCCCGGGGTCTGGAAATTGCAGTGGGCAGCTTGGGAGCCTCGCCCTTCCTCCTCCTTTTTGGCCTCTTCGTTCCCGATCTTCATGGCCACCACATATGCGACTACGCCAGCCCTTTTCAGACGTGACTGTTCCCCTGTGCCACACAGTCGTCACAACGAAACAAGTCCCACATGCCGTGCCGCCACACCGGCAGCAGTCTTTCCATGTCTTTCCGCACGAGCCTGTGGTTCTGGCCGGGCACAAATGTCTGTGTCTGTGGTGCATCTTTGTCTCGAAATACTGAGTAACATGTGGGCTCATGTTGCCTAGTTGTGCTTCCTTGTCGCGTGAGTGCGCATGGGAAGTCTGCCAATGCCGGTCGATCGAAGGATCCCATTCTGTCCGCTTTCTTTTGTTTCACGCAGCAGCGAGTCGGTCCTCTTCGCCACTAAAGTGGCGGCTTGAAAGCTGGCACAGAAGCACAGTTTGTCATTGGCTCCAAAGTGAGCGACCATCACGCGTGTCTAGGCGGCGTCGCCTCTCGAATGATCCAAGTCCGCGAGCCCTTCGGAGTCTCGGCTGCAGGAAATCGGCGTGTGCTCAAGTAGTAGACACATGCTAATTGTGAGATGCGCTACTCGTTGGTTATGCTGGCAAGGTGTGCACCGAGAGGGCGATAATTTGTCGATCCACTTCTTTACATCTGCAACAAGCCGCAAGCCCGACACTCAGAGGACACTCATGCCCATTCACAGGCTTTGGCGCATGTTTGGTGCCATGGGTCCATGAGCTCGGGCGATTTGAAAAAACACAGTACTCTTGCTTGCTTGCACCATGCATACGCAACGCCAGCCTAGGTTCGGAGAGCTGTCTCAAAATCCCGGTGCTGCAATTCTCTACTGGGACCCACAAACTTTGACGTACGTCGCTGCCTCAGCTTAGCTTGCAGATCAAACCGTTCTGCTGAAGAGCCAATGTGAAATGCCTCGTGAGGTTGCATTTCAAGGCCGTGCGCATGAGCTGACGGCTGCTGAAGGGAAAGGATTCTGGAGAGAATGGATGCGCATGTTCTACAAGGACTGTCACACAGCAGCCGGTGTGAGAGAAGATGAGCATCTGCCGTGGCACTGGCTGCTGCAGAGCCTGCCAGTTTCAGAAAACATGACATCACAGAATGTAACTGTTACAGGACAGCAAACTCTTCTCCGCTTGGAGACTGGATGCCTTCAGGCTGCCAGCAGGCTTGACCGCAATACAATTGAAAACATTTGCTAGCCTTTGATCGGCGAATTCACTGAACATGACAACTAAGGTTCAACGCCTGCAGGCTGTGAGCTGAAGGATATCGTACTTATCCTGTTCGTGAGTGAGTGCTAATAGAGTGCATTGAGCAAGGATGTCAGGGGGGGAGAACTTGGACACAGTCTAGGAGACGGTGCACGCACAAGCGTTCTTGTGGTGGGTATGTTTGGAGGGTTTCGGAGGCATTAGATTTAATGAATAAAGGAGCTTATTTTGGTAGTTTAGTATTTATTATTCATCATTCAACTTCTTTACTTATGAATGTTGGTGATTGATTTGTTTTAATGAATTTATTGCTTACAATCTTCTTTGTTAAGTTTGTTCTTTCTATTAAACATCTTATTCTAATCAGTTCATTACAATTATTTCTACTCATATTATGTGGATGATATTTTGAGGATGAATTATACTCGATTTTCTTTTTGTTGTTTTATTCAATTACTAGCAAGTGCCGTGTGATCCATGTGCTTCGGCAAACTTGGGCAGGTGGTGAGCATTGGGAGTCTTGGAAGCATAAGCGATGCAGCACGGACGTGCGGAGCATCTGCTGGCTCATCGCCAGCTGGTCAAAATTGTCAAAGCAGCATGCGGCTCCACGCGGCTCAGGCGCATCGAGAGTTTCAGGGAGGATTGGCATCCTGTGGAGCTCGAGCGCACGAAGTCGGGCTGGAAGGCAGCTCAGCAGATCAACCGGCTCAGTGCCCTGGTTTGTGGAAGTCAAGCAGAGTCGACACTTGAGGTCGTCTGTGATGGCCGCGAATGAGACAGATGTAGCTGCATCAAGATCAAGCCAATGTGCTTGCCAGATACCCCGCCCCACCCAACCGCGACAAGACCACAAAGAGCTCAGCACAGCAGAAGATGAGAGTCATCAGAAGCATTTCCGCGTCGCCCATGTCACGCCTCAGTCGTGCTGCATCTTGGCTCAACTTGCGACCACAAGACAAGGAGAAAGTATCCCATAGTGCGTGGCAGGATGTGCTATCCTCTGCACCGGCCCGACGCAGAAGATCTCGAAGGGCCATGTCCCATGTCATGCCACGCCATTCGCTTGAGGGCCGGGGCTCCTTTCTAGAAACAGGTGACCAGGCGAAAGGGTTGCTTGCAGAAGGTTTCCTTCCGAACACACAGACAGGTTGTTCACCATGTTTTACTGAAAGCAAGTGGCCAATGGTTGTAAGGATGTAAAAACCCAACTTCCGTATGGAGCCATGGCATGCCCAAGCGAGGAGGAAGTGCAGGACTTTCTCGAGGCCTGGAGAAGAAGGAATGGCCCACCCAAAACAAAGCTCCAAGGAACAGTCAGTCATAGAAGGACAAGAGGATGGGTTGGCCTGAGCAGCCGGCATGATTATAGCTGTGTGATCCTGTGTGCTTTGAGTTTAGGCGAACGACGTCGACTCACGGGCAGCTGCTGATCTGCGGGACACGGGTTTGTGCAGGAATTTGTAGCTGAGGGTCCCAGGGTCCCAAAGTGAGCCGTAGTGTCGGAAGCTGCCCCCCTATTCCGATGCAGGATTGTTCTGGAGAGGTGCAGCGGAAGGTGGGCTGAAACTGCCATCTGTTGGCTACAAGCTGTTGATACATGTTGATACATCAGTGACATCATTAATATGAAGAGCCGCAGCAGCACTGACAAGAGATTTCTGAACCGGCTACTGGCTAGCGACTGTTAAACCAGTTCAGGCCTTGCGCCTGTTGCCTGTTGCCAAGAAGATACCGCAGGGAGGGCTGTCTTCAGCAGGTTCTCGCGCGGGGAGATCTCCGCGGCGCACGGAACCCTTCTGCAGCCCTTCTCGCGCGGATTCGTGATGCGCTACAACCCCAGAGCCCACGACATACCGAATCTCAGCTTCAAAGCTTGTCGCTCATAAGAACCGAGTCTCAGGCGCAGCGCTGCTTCTCAAGCAGTTTCCGGAGGTGCCCAGGGCTCTTCACTAAAGCATGACATCGTCAGTGCGTTCGAAGCCCGAAAGGCCAGAGTGCCATCGCCAGCATGACACCTAGTTTCGCTCTATCCTGTTCTTCCATGACGTGAGGGCACGCTGGACCTTGCGAACTCCCATGTCAAGTGTCGTCGTATTGCATTGCAAAGCACGAGCTGAGTTGCTGCAAGTCCAGAAGTGGACGAGCAGTGGCCTGAGAGATGGGCAAACTAGCAGTTTACTTGTCATTGTCTTTGAAAGGACAGCCAGGCAATGGCTTGCCTAAATAACAGCTGGGCATGTGCTCAGAGGTTCATCAGACACAACAAAGTAGACGAGAGTGCGGCAGATTCCTTGAGGCGCGCTGACACTTCCATTTGTGCTCCCAATTGTGTGCTTGTCCATGCTTTTCTGCTGAAGACTTGAAACTTCCGCTTTTCGAAATGCGGAAAGGGGATGCTCACCTACAGTGCAACGCGCAGTCCTCGCACGGGGGGAGCTGAAGACGGCCAGACCTTCAGCTTTGAGCACTGCCCTCCTGTCCCGTTGCATTCAGACTGGGGATGTCTATTGGCCTTGTTATGCATGTCTATAGTTCTGAGGCGCGCAATCCATCTTCAGCTCTCCTTTCTCGCATTCGCGATGCAAAGAATGGCACCCAAGGCCATTGTTGCGAAGACGTCGCACGTTCGGTTTGTCTCGCTGGGCGTTCGGCAGACACTCACTGTGGATCCGGCTTCACACCATGCTTGCTCGCGCACTTGCTGCCGGCCAGGTAGCTTGCCGGGAGGCCGGATGCGCATGGTAAGCATTCTGTTGGTTGCTTGACTCCTTGCTTTAATGACTTCTTGATGCTCTGTTCAGGACAGGGCGGCTTCCCTGCTCAAGCATATGGCTATCCCTATGGATATCCCCCTCCGGGCTATCCATTCGGAATGCACTACGGCTACTACGGCTATACAGGCTACCCCGCAGCGGGTCGCCCTGAAAGTCGCAGCCGCAGTCGACGGCGTCGGAAAGGGCGCAAGAGAAGTAGTTCTAGCGAGCGGCTTGACATGCATTTCACGTTCAGAAACACACTGATGCAGTCGTGGCTAGCGAGAGTTACAGAGTATGTCGAAGATGGAGCCCAGGACAGCTACAAGCTCAACAAGTGAAAGCAGCAAGCGCAAGCGAAAAAAGAAGACCAAAGAAAGGAAACGAAAACGGAGCAGCAGCTGAACCTGGAAAAAGACTCATGTCGCGCGCGGATGGCATGTTGTGCAGGTAAGTTTGCCAGGGCAAACATACAATACTAAATTCCACTTCAGGCTTGGAGGTGTGCAGTTGCAGCTTTCGGAATCACAGGGTCATCATCGTCTCCTGCGCGAGGCTTGCAGTTGAGCGGTCCCCGGGCCGTTGCGTTACGCTGTGGCAGCATAGGTGTGCATCACGATGCATCGGTCGGTCGGCTGTCAAGGGTCGAAGATCGCTCCTTCTAGAGTTTACAACAGAGGGTTTTCCGCTTAGTTCTGAAGATGTATATATGAGCAAGCGCCAAAACCCCCAGGCATTCAATTAAGTAAGGGGTGGACACGAATGCCCAAAACCCTGTAAAACGATGGGACCACTTGAAAAGCGACACCCCTAAGTTAATGAACCGTTGGGTGTGCTATAGCCGTGATTTTTCCTAAAGCGACACCTACAAACATCAAGCGTGGATAAATGATGCTAAAACCCTGTAAAACGATGGGAACACTTGAAAAGCGACACCCCTGATGTTGCGTCCATTAGCACCTCGAGCCAGTTTTGGCAGTCGCTCATATAGTCCTGGTCGCTCTGTTTAAGCATTGTAGGCTCTAGGACCCTACTATATAGGGCAGTGCAAATGCCGTCCCCGAGGCCGGCCCCGGTCGTTTGTGAGAACTTCTCAAACTATTCTGTGCACTTGCACGCTTATGCAAAGCACCTTCGCGAATATGCCATCGCAAGGCGACTGAACCATTATAGCCGAGTAGTGTCTCAGTGCGTCCTCATGTTTGAGCAAAGGCCTTGCGAGACAAACGCATCCATAAGACACTTCACTTTTCTGCATTCAGATTCGGGAAGCGGCGGACCAATGTCGCTTATCTAAGTCACTGCAGCACTCTGAAGCACCAAGTCATGCCAAGCCCACAGCCGCAGTCATGAAGAATCCTTCACACTTTGGTGCCTTCGGCGTAAAACCTTCACTCTTCCGCCAAGCTGCATCAGCAACACCATTCACATCGCATGAAGCTGCCTGCGCGAGTGCAGCATCACAAGTAGGCTTTCGAGAATCATCATCGAAATATCCGTCCGAGCCGTTCATCGGACAACACCTGTCATGCGACCCGGCATCGCCAGCTGCACACGTTGACCGTGGGCCCCATAATTTCGGTACATGTGATCACTCTCATTGCATGCTATGTTTTTAGCATGCTGCTGGGTGTCATGTTTCGGCATGTTTCGGCTTTGGCTCTGTGCTAGCTGCTGCTAATAGCGGCTTCCGGAACAAATCTGTGCCGGCTAGCTGCGTGAGGCGGGGGTGAACGTTGAACATTCAACCTGCTGTTGTTGTGAATGGTCTTCGGCACGAATATGCATCAGTGTTGCAGAAAAATGAAACAGGCGCAAATGAAGATCTGGTTCTGGAGCTTGGCCACGGCCGTATATGGCATTTTGGTGGACAGGCAGTCCTCCAAAGAATCTTTGCAGATGTCAGCACAGCACTTGCCTCCATTTCCAGAACCTCCGATGCAGTCTGCACTGCCAGAGATGCCGACATTGCCACAGTCGGTTTTCGACATTTCTCCGCCAACGATAAGAATGGTGCCAACGCCTCCACCGAATGCCTCCGAGATTCCAGCAGCCACGAAGCAGAGAGAGGCGTGAGTACTGGCGTGAGGAACCTGTCGAGCCCAGACGCTTCAGGCGACAAAATCGACTGAATGGCCGTTTATGATTGTTGGGATGCGCTCCTCAGTGTAGCTTGCAGATTCGTGGCTTGGTTCAGCTTGTAAACTGTCGCCTGCTTCTGTCGGACCAAAGTGATCTGCTCTAGTGCGATCGCAGTGTCTTTAGACATGGCGACTCAGCAGATGGCATCACATCCTTGGCTCGTTCCTCAGGGCGTCACAGCTGCTCGTGCTTGCACGCGGTCTGCAAGTCGAAGGTACTCACACAGATCTTGCACATTTAGGGCGTGGAAATGTTTGGACTACGCACAATAACTGCTAAAAAGTCATCCTCAGATCATGACCCGCGTGGCCGGCGAGCTGACGACAAACCCCTTCAGAGACGCCCTCGGATTGTCAGCTACGAAATCTGCGTCAGAGTGGGGTTGAGAAACCCTGTGGCAGGTTTGCCTCCCGAGCTGGAATGTTTCTGGCTGCAAGAGCCAGTGGCAGAAAGGTCTGCCGAAGAGCGTCTGCAGGCTGCCCTGAGAGTTTGGATGGCAAGCACTTGCAGTTGTGATTCTGAACCGTCCTTGTGTGGGCAGGAGCGCAAGTTGAAAGTGTGGGAGAAGCCGACGTGCTCATCCAGCTATGGTGCGATTTCCAAAATCCGCGACCCTGATCTTCCCATGGCGTCCTCACCTTACTGCAGAGAGAGGCTGCACCCGTGCGAGTTCTAAGAACGCGCTTCGTGAGGCCTGTGCCGCCAGCGGTCGACGACATGCTTGCAGCTGCGAAGCTGAAGGCGCGAGTATGAACTAAAAACGAACTAACGCCGTCATCTTCGACACGGAATATGAGGTCATGGCAGAGGAGCGACCTGACAACACGTTCTTGACGCGCGCAGCTGAGACTCCTTACCAGGGCGTGATGCAACAGCAAGTCGCCTGCGACTAGCCACTAGGCTTATCTAGTCCTTTCTATCAGGACTGTGGCCACGAAGCCAGCGATAGGACTCGTTGAGCCTCTACGGAAAAGCCCGTCTCCCAGCAACACAGACATTCACAACAGTTGCGACGATCCTTCATCTTGAGTCTTGACAGTTGTGTGTACCAAAATGACGCGTTTTGTTGGGCAGGCGAGAAAGACATCCGAACGTATGTGCAGAGGAAGCGCGAAGTTTTCCTGGTGCACATGGCTTGCGACAACAAGCGTGAGGAGATTGCCGGACTCTTTGTGTGTATCATTGTGGTGCACTTCGATGGGCTTCGTAGCCGGCTTGTGTTGCCCAAGGTGCGCTTAGACGCAATGGCGAAGGCCAAAGAAGATGCCTTGGCAGCCTCACAGCAAACTTTGGACGAGGATGCCAAAAAGTTTGAAGATTACCTCCAGGATCCCCTCGATGCCTGTTGCTGATGCTCATTGGGTTCTCCACCTGCACCCTCTGTGTATTTTTGCAGGAAAGAATCGCCAAGGCTTCTTCTGCTACAAAGGAAAGCGAAATGCTTGCCAAAGTGAAGCAAGACAAAGTTGCAAGAATCAAGAACCTGAGACAGCAGATCGCGACTGTACAAAGTGAAACGAGCAAATTGAAGGAGGTCGGGAGGGAGATGTTGCAAGATATCACATGGCAGTCACACAGAAGCTTTGTGAAGTTTCGAGGTGAGAGTGGAGTCCGAACGCTACAAGATGTTCTTGGAAAAGATAACTCCACCCGAGTGGAAAGAAGAGCAGCCGAGTGCTTAGCTCGATGGTGGAAACTCTGCAAGGCCGTCCCTTCTCATTTTCTGTGCCCTCTTCCGGCTTATCATGAAAATTCAGGAGGAAGAAGAAAGAGCAAAGGAAGAAGGAAAGGGCGGAAAGGCTCCGCTGCACATTCGGACTGCATCACCGACTTTGACTCTGAGTCCAGGTGGAAGAAGGAACGCCTGGCACCGATCATGGAGCAGCTCGCCCAAGAAGAAGAGAAACTCTTCGAAAAGATTGCCCAGGAGGATGCTGAGGCGGCCATTGCACTTGCTCCTGCAGGGTGATGGACCGTCTGTGGGCGCGTGTATGAGCATTGGTTGCTTTTCGATTGCTGGCCCTCATCAATACCGTTTGGCTTCCGATTCGCTTCCATCATGGGGAGGGCTTACAGTTGAACGCCTCGAAACAGTGGGTCAGATGGCTGCTCCAGTGCCTACCGAGCTGTGATCTTATGTCATATTTCATTTGGTGGGTCTTGTTTGCATCCTCCACTTGCCCGGTCGTCTCGCAGTCCTCCGTTTTTCCGGTGCTGCGGTGCCGTATTTTTGTTGTCAGCAAATTTAGCACGTGCAGACATACCGTAATTCCTTGTCATCATCATTCTTGTTCTGCTGTCAATGGTTTAGGTGTCGTTTTCTAGTATCGTTTGGCATAAATAGAAACTACACACTATATTTTGTGTATGTATATATCGTTATATATATATATATATAGATATGCCCATTCTTCCACTCATTATGTTTACTACATGTGGTTAGGCTTCCAGGCAGAGAACACATAACACACGTATTAGACATATCCACGAATTTGCATCATGCAAAAGGCAAAAGTTGTGCATCATTGCACTTTCAAACGATAATGTAGATTTTTTCAACTATGTAAACTACACTTTCAACAATATTTAGAACAGGATACACATATGTATATATATATATATACTCTATCAATATATATATATATATATGCATATATAGTACAGATATAGCGTATACATACAGTTTTTACATAAATGAAAAATCTAAAGAATAAATAAACATATACATATATATATATACATAGTATATTCATTTACAAGTAAAAAACTAAATGAACATATGTATATGTAGAATGCATGTATATTTACATAGACAGATGCGTCGTGTATATGATTACATCTTTACGAAATTATAAAAGTGTAAAATACATGTATATATATATATACACGTTTCATCACAAAGTGTTTTTGGGGCTTGACGACCCCATAATCGTCAATGCGTTCGATTTCGCTGTAAAGGCTGAAGCTTCAAAAAAGCGCAGCAAAAAGCAAAGACGAAGGGAAGATGAGGCACAGTTGAGGGGAACACAAGCTGCCGTTGGAATGGGCACCTGCCGGTTTCAGGAGGAGCTACTGCAGCGGCAGCGGGAAAGAGACACCCGCCGCAAGCGCATTCAGAAACGACGCGAGGCAACACACGCATTCAAGCATCTTGTCTTACCGGCGGGACTAGTGTTGATTGGTTGCTACTGCAAAGGAGGAGGAGCGAAAAGTCAATGCCGAGTCTGGGACTTTGCTGCTTCGTAATGAGAAGCTGAGTTGCGAAGTTAAGGTGCAGTGGTGCAACATGTTTTGGTTGCATTGCCGTCTCCAAACCAAGATATGTTGCCGTCTCTTCCGAAGAGGAGCCTGAGCTTTTCTTCAAGGACGATAACAAATGAAAGAGCCACCTGAGTAATTACATCAGAGAGGGGTCTCGTAGAGGTGTGGGAATTTGCCTCACATGCCTAGCATGAAGGAGCCCCAACAGCTCATGGACAGCTTTACGGAACTAGAAGAGCTGAACCTCTTCCTCATCCAGAGCTCTCAGGCTTCTTGCTGCCTGGCACTAGTCACTAGATGGTGGAAGCGTTCAACTGGGACTGCGAGGAAGCTGAACAGCAACTGGACGAGATTCGCAACAACTTTGAAGCGATGAAGAAGAACATGGGCCACAAGGTTGACGGTTGTGTCGCACAGACGTCCTAGTAAGAATCCTGTTGACAGAGCTGTGGCTATGGATCTGCTTGCCGTAAGGTTGTGTCCCATGAGGTTGTGTCATGTGTGGAGAATGGATGCGACCCCTTGGAACTAACAGTACTTTGGTAACCCATGTTTATTTCGATCTCATTAAGGCCTTAGTAAAATGCACCCCAGGTCTACGCGTTGAACTTTCTGTTTGAAGCGATGTGGTTTTCCGGGTCCTTGCGCTGGCCAGGTTTCTTCAGGTTCCTTTGCCTGTGTGCATTATTGGCAGTGAATCTGCAAGGTGCAGCAATTGAAGGATCAAATAAGGCAGCTGGAGCAAAGCATCAAGCAGGTCCGACGCGGCATATGTCGAAAGGCGGAAGTCAATCACATTGCAGCGCGTGAGGAGCAGCGGCGGGGCGAAGAGATCAAGCAAAGTCATGCAGAGAAAGCGAGCACAGCAATCCAGGAGCTTTTGGGTGAAGAGGGCCCCCCGCTTCAACCTCTGCTCGTCAGTCAACTTCTCATGGCAAGGACAAGAAATTGACCAGTTTGGCAAAGAAGGCCGTCGTCTTGCCCACAAATGTCGCGTCTCGTTTGTGCGCGTGTTGCAACACTGACGTGCAGACAGAGCTGCGTTAAGGTGCACGAAGTTTACACCAGATGCAATCTTGCACGGGACCAGCAGCAGCCGGATACGCTGCAAATGCTTGGCGCCATTGAATCGCGGATCGAAGAGTTGATTCAGGGTCTCGATGAGGCCTATCAGCAGGCCACGGACATGGGCTGCAATGCCACTGCTTGTCAGCAGCGTCTGTATTCCCAGACATGCAGGATGAGGATCTTGTCATGCGTCTGGAGAAGATCAAGGAAGGCGATCGGCGCGAAAGAGTCTGGGTCCGAGCTAGCTTGTATGTCGAAGGGCCGGCATGTGCCACTATCGAGAGAAGCTTAGGTACGTGAGAATCGGCTGAAAGAACAGTCGGAAAAGCAAGAAGATCGCTTGAAGCAATCATTGCAGCGGTCGCAGAAGCCCGTCTTCAAGAAAGCCTGACGCTTAGACTTGGTGCGACTGATTAGTCGGGGTCCAACTTGTGTCGAGCATTTGATCGTTTGATCTGGTGGCTTAGGCCGGCAAGCAGGTCATGTACCGATCTCCTCCGTTACGGCAGGAACGCAAGGTAGTTGAAGACACAACTGATGATGAAGCGCACGCCAGAGATCACAAGGCTTGAAAGCGTGTGCATTTTGAACCATCCACGCAGAAGCTCCGCAGCGCGAACAGGTCTTCGACATTTACATCGACCGGAAAACAGGAGTGCCTCACACGGACGCACCTGTGGAAGAGCCGAGGCACCGAAGAGCAAGCGTGCGTAAGCAGGAGCGTGCGAAGTGCCGATCAGAGTAGGCGAGTGGGAGAGTACGGTGACCAGCACGAAGAAGAGAGAGGGAGCAAGGGCTCTTATCCCTCCTTGATGGGCCTTCTTGGCTGTGGAAAAGAAGAGTGCTGGTACGTCGTACATCGCGGCGCATTGACATCTTTCCAGCTTCCCCTCATTCGTTAGAAGGAAAGATAGAGGTGCGTTCGGGCTTTCGTGCGTGCCGCCCGAGTCAGGCGCCTCCCTGGCGACCGAGGCACTGGTCCATTGAGGCGCGGCTGAGAGCTGCAGAGAGGCATTCCTCCTTTGAATATTCGCGCCTTTGTGACTTTGTGTTTTCGCTTCTATGTCTTGTTACTTGGTGTTCTTGTATGTTCGTGGCCTTTGTCTTGCTGCTCCTCTCACCGTTCCTTCCTGCTTCCATCGCACATCGGCGAGTACTTGGTGTGCCAAGTCCTACTTCTCCCACTTCGGCAGCTGGGCGAACCACTGCTGCCTAGCGGGCATAGTCGACGCTGGACAGCACAGAACTGATTCCTCATCAAGACATTGACAGTGGCAGATCAGGGCACTGCATCTGCCTTGAGGATCACCAGCACCATCGACGCGAGCATCGTTTCACCAAAAGTACGGTTTCACCAGTCGTGCAAGCATGGTAGAGTCCGACAGCTCCAAACGTTGGCAAGCTGCCGGAAAGAAGTGGCACCGGCTCACCAAATCACGGAACTCGCATGAAGAGCTACTTGGAAGGTGCACTCGAGCCATCATTGGAATTTTTCTCCATCATTGTGCAAAACGTGCTGCCAGCCGCAAGCTTCGGACATGTCGTTATTGTTCCCGGGCAGATAAGCAATGCCCCAAGAATGGGCAAAGATGAGCTGGATGCTGGCTTTGCTTCCTGCAGCCTTGCCGGCGGTTGCCGCGCCACAGCCCTACATACTTGGTAGCGTCCACGCACCTTAGGAGCCCTTGCTGACAACGTTTTCCATGGTTCAGGCAGAGCCCCTTTGGGCATAGGGCTCCTGGCAACCCTGCGATGGCAAGCGGCTTTGGACAAATACCCGGCGCATGCCTCAGCAAATGCCTCAGCGAGGAGCTCTTCGGAGTCTGGATATGACTTGCCTTGACTTGCTGTCATCCGAAAAAAGCAATTGTTCTTCTGCAGCGAGGTGTTCCACCTTCCAGCACTTTCACAAGCTCGGGCAGGCACCCAGCGTTCGAGCTTCTAGTTATTCCAGTTGGGCCCCGTCTTGCTGACCGAGACCTGTCCTGCAGGCCGCCGGGTGTTGTCGATTCAGGCCGCCTGCATGTTGCATGTACTGTGCGCGAATTGATTGTTCTGCTCAGGGGGATTCGGGAGACACATGGATGGTCAACCACTGCCATCAATGCCTGCATCTGGACAAGCGAACAATCCTACGAGACCGATGTCGGCAATGCCCGGCAATTTCAAAGACTGGCCCCAGAGTGCCGGAGTCGATCCCAGCGTTGGACGACCCGGCAGTGGCTATCCAAATGTGATGCAGCTGAACCAAGTCAACTCGCTGGGCCAGGATGCTGACATGTTCGGCCAGCGCAGTTCGGGCCAGGGTGCATTGGCGAACCCAAACCTGAACTTTGCGCACGAACGTGGCCAACAGATGGGCCAAGGCAGAAGAATGCCACATGTGTCTGGCTGTGTTTGGCTTGTGCTCTTCGCTGAAGATGTTGAGGACTGCAGTTTTTCCGACCAGGCAGCGCTTCTGGGAGCACAGATGATGAGGGCATGCAGGTGTTGAATGTGGCCATACAGCTCATGCAGAAGGCCACCCCAATGACGCCAATGACTCAAGAACGGCTAGAAGTAGAAGCTGGTGAGTTCTCGCTGCAGGGGCAGCTGGTGGAAGCCAAGAAGGCGTTGACAGCTGCAGCGCATGTACTTGCAAAGCCGCCGTGCTTGAAGGCATTTTTTAATATTTTTTACACATCAGTTCGGGCGTTCTTGGGTTACTTCGATCTACTTCCTCGAAGTAGCTTCCCTTAAATCGCGCTCGGTCATTATGGGTCATTGCTGACATGACACTGCAGCGACCGCTTGCTGATGCTTGCTGCATGTTGACTTGGCGGAATTCACGATTGCACATGTCATTTCTCTTGTCTTTGTAGACCACAGCCTTTTCACAGTGTCTTGAAGTATGGGAGGCACCAGCGCATGCAATGCCTCATCTTTTCGTGTTCAAGTCAGTGTTGCTTGGTGCGGAAACAGCGAAGATGGAAACCACATCACTGCAAGGCACGTTCAAAGGTCACGCCGCTGCGTAACCTCGTCCTGGTTGACAATGACAGCTAAGCACAGGCTCGTAAACACACGTGATGGGTGTGAACCTGTTTTCTTCTCTGCAACGGCTCACGCACGCAAGCACATGTCATGGGGAGTTGCTCCATAGGCGAAGTATGATCTTCATTGTAGGGCTAAAGAGCCTGTAGCTGGTGAAAGCAACGAACACGCTGAAGGCATTGGATGATTGGAGTGCCACATACTATTGTGCGAGAATACTGTTCTACCCGATGTTGCAAATGCACTGCACTCGCATGACATGTTGCTGCAAATGTTCTGCACAAAGCGAATACCCGACTGCGACGTAGTATCCTCTTCGTGCGAGGTCCAAGTAGTGATGGAACATGGTGCAACCCTCATGCACAGACAGGGCTGGGTCAGCAGTGTTTGATAGGCTGAGCAGTCCAAAATGCCCACCCGACTGCATTGTTCTCTTTTGCAGGGTATCATCTTGGAAGGCCATGATCGCGTTTCCAGCCGTGTCCCACATCCACACCCACACAGCTGCACGCGCACGTTGATGGAGCCTCTGTATCCCATGAGACGTTGCATCGAGCCGAACTCGCTCACACGCAGGAAACGCAGGATCTGGTGAGGATGAGTGGTCGCAGCACCCGTTTGAAAAGATGTCCACTGGGCACCTGCTTTCTCACCTGCCTCCATTGTCTCCTTGCGTGATCTGATATGGCCCGATGCATGCAGTAGCCACCAGGGTGGCATCGGAAAATCGAAAAATGAGGGATGGAATGAAAAGGATTGTGTGTTGCCGTGCCATGCCAGACACCAGGAATGCTGTAAGGAGTGAAGTGACAAACGATGCTCATCCAGCTGCCCAAGCAAGGAAGTTAAGAGCAGCCAGATCAAGTGCGGCTTCTTGGAAGGGCGGCACAGTTTGTTTCGGACAGAGTTCTCTACCGTAGCCCTGTCACTTGTCCCCGCAAGTTCAAAAATAGCCGAACTTTACGTACAATTCGTGGTGAAGATGGTGAGCATAATCTGTGCGCGGGGACTTGTCCGTCTGGGGCCTTGTGTCAGTCGAACCACCAACGGTTTCGCAAAGTCCGTTTTCGCCAACTTGCCTGGCAGTTTATGCTTTAAGTGGCGAGATCTTTGTTTCATCATTGCCAGGGTACATGCCGGCAAGTTCTACCTGTGGCTGCTCAGCTTCGACATCTCATGGGCCTATCAGAGGCCTGCTCGTGCTGAGAATTGTCGGGAAGCAGCACCAGCACGGAGTCGAGAGACTGCACTGCTTCTGGACCAAAGGCATCGCTCGAGCAAGTGGAGGCGTGCTTGCTTTTTGTAGATGAGTGCGCTCCACTTGCACTCGCCTGGCTCTCACTCCTTCTGCTCTGCTCCCCTGCCCTTCCCTCCCTCCCTCCCTCCCTCTCTCCCTCGCTCCCTCCCTCCTCTCCCTTTCTCCCTCTCTCTCTCCCCCTCTCCCCTCCCTTCCCCCCCACCCTCTCGCTCGCTCGCTCGCCACTCACTCACTCACTCACTCATTCTCTCCCTCCCTCCCTCCCTCTCTCTCTCTCTCTCTCTTTCGCTCTTGCTCTCTCTCACTCAGTCACTCTCTCTCTCTCTCTCTCTCTCTCGCTCGCTCGCTCTCTCTCTCTCTCTCTCTCTCTCTCTCTGTCTCTCTGTCTCTCGCTCGCTCGCTCTCACCCCTCTCTCTCTCATTCGCTCTCCCTCTCTCTCTCTCACTCACTCCACTCACTCACTCACTTTTGTCTCGGGCTCCTACCTTTGTCGCTCTATCCCCCTCCCCCACCTGCAGGTTTGGCTGGAATGGAGGACTGCCCAGGAAGCATTTCCTTGGGGGAAGGCTCGAGTGCTAAATCACTGGGTAGCTGGCGGTTACTTGCCAATGGTGGTGCAGGTTCTCTTGTTTATCATTGCAGTCCTCCTGGGCACGTTCTTGCTCGCACTTCGAGGAAGACGATCAGAAGGCCAAGTACTGTTCCCAGAGCTGTGCCAATGGGCCAATGGTTCTGAAATTGCATGCCAGAATGAGATCAGGCATCCAATTGCTGGTGGATCAATTCCAGTTCTGGAAAACGGCAGTGATGTTTTCCCATGCCGAACCAGAGCCGGAACAGAGAAAGCCAGCTGCAAGCATTGAGACGAGGCGGCCTCGCAACGTCCAGTCTCAAACTGTCATGTGTACTCGTAGCCGGCTTGAGTGGCTTCATGCGCAGAGGTGCCTATCAGAACTTGATCCGAGTGGTGATGATGCTGTCGCGCAGTTAAACAAGGTTGACAGTCATGCGCTGGCTGGTACCTGCACAGTGCCCCGCGATGACACGGCCATGCTGGCAGCACCCAAAGAGGAAGCTAGCCAGAACGTGATTGACAGTATCCTGACAGACTTAAGGGAACCGGAAGCAGAGGAACACGTGGAAGAGCGCAGCATGGCAGACTGTGAGGAAGTCACTGCAAGGATATCAGACATTGAAGGCGAGCACACTGAAAGCCGTCTCTTGACGGTCAGTGGAGCAGAACAGGAACCCACCTCACAAGAGGTTGGAGTCAAGGGCGCGGAAGGCCACATTGTCGAACTGGAACATCCAGCCGTCGATATGGACGCCTCTGTGCATGAGCACATGCCTTAGATGACACTTATCACGCTGAAAGCCCCGGTTGTTTGCCAGTCTGAGGCCACACGAAGATGCATTGCAGACTGCGGTGGCTCAGCAGCAAAGCAGCAAGCATCTCCAGCTCTCGCATTCACTCCTGTGCGACTTGTTAGGGCTTCCGCATAGCTGGCATAGCTTCACTTCACACTCTTGGACTGTAGGTGCTTCTAAACTGGCCTTAGAACAGCATGGTCCAAGCCAAAGCGATATGTGTGTGTGTGTGTTTCAGGCCATTCCCCTGCCTCCTGCCTGCCTCCCCCCTCCGAGCATTGAGGCGCATGTAGGCCCTTACGCATTTTCATGTCACGGGAATGCTTGGACGTGACGTGACTACCGATATCACTCAAACCACTTGCATTACTTTTGTGTCCCGCTGTGCCGACAAGCCCTATTCGGACATCTGATTTAACTTTAACCGAGGAGACAATCTCAATGGGCAGGGCAGGAAAGTGCAATCACAGCAGGGCACAGGAAATGTGAGGTGACATGCCAAGGATCCCACGGCACCCAATCCAAAAGCTCGCACCTCCATGAGGACCTCAGCATGCCTGTCCTGCAGCAGTGGCTAGCTAGACCACTTGACAACCAGAACACCTAAAGCTTCGCCGGAAAAGATGCCGATTTGACTGCTGCATTGCACATCGGTTTCTTTTTGTGCTCTTAGCTCGACTGTTTGGCGTTGCACACAACACGGATCCCCCGCAACAGATATCTTGCGCAAGGGAAAGCCGGGTTTCCCATTTTAGAGTGGGTTTGCTTGCTACACGCAATTCAGACCGGGGAAGAAATCGTCATGTAGTCACCAGCATGATCGCCCATCATTAAACCCATCGTTGTTGCATAGGTGGCTTCGGATGCGGATGATCTTGGCATTGCGTTGCAAGACACCATGGAGTACAACGTCGAAACAGGCGATGGACGCATTCAGGAAACCTCTCAAGCTGTACTGCAGTCGGAGAAGCCCAAGCGTCAGATATGGAGATCCAGGGCCAAGAAGGCAGGTGGAAGTGCATGATTGTTAGGTGTGTCTTGTCATTTTCTGGCAGGAAAAAAGGGCAGGCTCACTGTATTTTCGACTGTTAGCCTGTTAGCCATGGAAAAGAGGCGTTCCAGCGTTCCGTGAGGAACGTGGTTGCGCCGTATTTGTGTTCTTTTGTGGCCCGGCCCTTCAGCTTTGGAACTTGTTGGCTTCTCGTTTTGAGCTGTTCATCGGCAATGGCTTGTTTATCTCGTCAAGAACCATGAGCAGTGGATCCACAGTGATGGCGAACCAGTATAGCATATAGAGCATATGAAAAAAGCCAACTACACACGATCAGACAGCGATCTCCTTGTTGCTGCCCCTAAAAAACTTGACCTGTCAGCACTCATGCCGAAAGATGAGACGGAGATCCGATGACAAGTGCCCTGTGGAAATCGCATCCAAAGCGTCCAAAAGCCTTGGCATCGCCATAGCAAGCCGCTGTTCAGCGTGAAACACGCATTTTCAAAACACATCAACAATGAAGCATTCTGGGGTCCTGGCGGATTTAAGGCTCGGGGCTCAAGCCCCGGAACAAAAGCAGTCTCCGAAATAATACGGAGCCTGCGGTTTCTTGATCTGTGATCGCCAAAAGCTCCGCTCAACTCTTCTCCCGCTGCACCATCAACACCATCACAGTCTGGTTTTTGCGATGAAAAGCTAGAGGCCTTTGAGATTACAGAGCTCCATCTCTGGCCGTGTCGATAGAAGAAGCTCCCTGAAGGCCGAGGAGCGACCTGAGGCGGTTGAGGCTCAAAGTGATGGCCCAGCAGGCTACCGAGATCCTGCGGACACTATGCTCAGACCAAACCATGTGGACCCTACTACAGATGCTCTGGATACAGTTCGATCAGACACCGACATCCCTGCATCACTCAAAGCGGACTGTGCTGAAGAAGACTGGGGCTGGGGAGCCGGCCGGCCACAGGTGGGCCCGTAGCCGCCGTAACCGAAGCTGCAGATGCTTTTTTGGAACAGCGCAGTCGCGTTAGCCTTGCAGGCTGCCAGTGATGGATGTATTTACTTCGCTGGCGGACCTCCACCTCAAGATCGCAAGCAGCAAAAGACAGAACTAGCTGCACTGGCGGCTCTTACTGCCCAAGCTGGACCCGCCAAAACAGGACGTCGATGGCAAGCCGGAGGCAACCCAGACGCCCGTCTCACAACCCTATGCAGCCACGGAGTCGTCAAACTGCCAGGGCGCGCCTCCTCAGTGCCAGACGTTCCCTTGGAAGACGAGCTGCGGGGGCCTCGCTGATGTATTTTATGTGCCAGCATGACACTGCAGACACAGGATGGTATAGGATATTCTTGTCAGTTCAGAATGCTTGCATCACAGGCTCGAGTTGGATGTCAAGTTGGAGCAGGCAATGCGTCAAGTTGTCCCTACTTGACGCCGGTGACCTCAGTGCAGGATGGCAACTTCTTCTTTGCCAAGCCCACGCGCTTCCGCGCACAGGGATGTTTCTTGCGGCTTCCAGGTCTTTCATGCTGCTGCTGTCATGCTTAAGAAGTGGGACATTATGTGTCATCATGACTCTTCATGCATCAGGTGGCCGAGAGGCTTTTCTGCCTGTGGAGCACATCACTCCCTATGCAGAGGCTTCAACAATTGGTGTGAGGAAAACTGCGCGGACCCTAATCATGCTTCGCAACCTGGGATTTTGCTGAGTTCGGATTGATGGAGCCGCATGTTGATTATCCCGAACTATCCCCTACCAAGGTGACACAGTCGTCTAAAGGCGGTCGCCTGCGCGTTCGTGAGACTGGAAACGGGCGCGTGTCCATGTTGACACCAAATGAAGAGGCTCTGCGGTGCAAGGACTTGGGACTTCAGTGAGCATGCCTGCCATAATGGGACTTAGCAGGTGGACAACTTCAGAACCGCGTGGGGAATGAAAGACATGATGCAAAGGAAGGGCCTTGATTTGACGATCGCCGCAGGGAGGGGCGATCGGAGTCCGAACGTCATTGCAGTCGACTCGCTACTTTGTGCTTCTCATTGTTCCACGCTTGGCACGGGACGACTCCACCTGCTGTGGTGTCCACCCCCAGCACTGCATAAGACTTGGGTGGGGCGCCACGTGCTTTCGTCGTCAGGGGAGGGCCGGACAGGCCTGAGGCAGTTGGGGCTGGGGAGCATGTCAGGAAATGCAAGATAGGCAAGAACGCAAAGGCAAAGAGGGAGAATTCCGAGAGCACCAGCGGCATCATCCAGAAAACAAGCGAGCCAGACTGCAGAGAACCGCCGGATACCGCCGGACTGCTTCGACAGGCCTTTCATTGTAGCCATACGTTGTGGTAAAACATGATGGAACCAGAAGCAGAATTCGAGGCGTTGCTGCGGAAAGGATGTCGCGGCATTGCCTCACAAGGTTCATGATTTGATTACTTGACAAAGCCAAGCCAGCATGCTTGTCCTAGGGCCTTCGTTTCTATTGTCGTTGGATGTCCATTGGCATGTGGGTCATACGGTGGATGGGCAAATGCATGACCCAGCAAAAAACGGGGAGCATGGCCACGCTGATTGGCGTAATCCCCGTACCCGTCCAATTGCAATGTTGATGACACGCATGGCTGATGCAGGATCCGGGCATTCGCGCCTGTTTTGCACCTGTTCCGGGGAACTGATATGATGGCCTTGGGTAGAAAACTGATACAGGATTTCGTCTATCAACAGTATGGGTCGTCTCAAGCCACGGGGGTGGGCCGCCAAGCAGTCGGGAAAGGGGAGTCCTGTTAGTGTCGGGTTCGCGAATCCGTTTTAATGTTGGTTTCGCTTTAGTATCTAGGGTTTTGCTCACCCTCTCTGAACGGGAGCGGGGGCTGGGGGTAGGGCGGGTAGGGGTCGAGGGTTGAAGGGAAGCGTTGAAACTTGAGGGTCCATGCTTTCCAGGTTTTTTTGGCTCCCTGGCCAGGTGCTGCGGATGAATGCGAGCAACCGAAACAATCGAATGAGGGCAGCTCGTAGGCTACTTACTCCCTTGGAAACAATTTGTTGGGGGCCTGTTTCGTAATGAAATCTTAAAAGGAGTTTTATGGACTCCCGAAAGTTCCGGAGCTTCTTATTCAAAACCATTTTAGTTTTTGGCTCTCCCTCATCCCCACTTCGAATAATTGTGGTGCGGGAAGCGATCCTAAAACGGGTGCAGCATCATCAGAAAGCTTCGGTGACATGTGCCACCCGCCAGTGTTGTTTCGGCAGAAGATGCCATATGTGGTGGACGCATGTCGGTCATGGAGGGACGTGGGGCGCTGACAGAAGCTGATGTTACAACCGGCCACTTGTGTCGTCTCGGCCGGGGGAAGTCCAGCAAGGGTTGGGGCGTGGTTTCGCATTTCTTCAAATAAGATGCGCTGAACTACAATCTTGTCAAAAACATCACAATTCTGTTAGGCTTACCCGGGACCCGGGTGGTTTTTGGTCCCCGGGGCCCGGGGCAACAAATGTCACGGAAAGAACTCAGCCAACAGCCCACAATCCTGGTTTGACGCCTGTCAGTAAATGAGTCGTAATTATTAGAATGAATTAGTTAATTAGTTGGGACCTACCGAGATGGCTACGGCTACAGGCAATTCCATGCTGATGGCGACATCCATTCCTTGGATTGTCCAGAAGAGGACCCTCAACTGGTACGTTCAAGATGCCCGCACTGTAGTGCCGATGGCCCCAGCCCAGCGCCCTTTGCAATATTGGGAAGACAAGATGCGCGGCAAATGCCAGCACAAGATACATTCATACGCAGTGCTAATACGCAGACATAAAGAGATGTTCAACAGTTCCAGAGGAAAGAAAAGCCTTTGTCAGTTGCTCGGGAGCATGAACAGGAGGGACGTCATGTCTCAGGGGATAGGGATCAAAAAAAAATATAAAAGGATCAAAAAGAAAATAAAAAAGGATCAAAAAGAAAATAAAAAAGGATCAAAAAAAAAATAAGGCCGCGATCGACGACCCTCTCACACGAAACGCGTCTCGAGGTTCAAAAACTCGAGTTTTGGTACGTTCTCAGAGCACGATGGACGACCCTCTCACACGACACGCATCTCGAGGCGCTAAAACCCTGAGTTTTGGCACGTTTTCCGAGTGGAACTCTTGGCTTCCCGGCTTCTTGGCTTGTTGCCTTCTTGGCTTCTTGGCTTCCTGGCTCTCCTCGGCTTTTAGCTTTTTGGCTTCTTGGCTTCTTGGCTTCTTTTTTAAGTCGCAACCGCTTCCTTCAACGCATACGCGTGTGTCGAAAGCCATGATGCGAGGATTGTGTTTGCAAATGGGGGGGGCTGCGCCCCCCCCAACCCCCCCGCTTTTTATGTCGCGCAAGCTTGCTTCGAAAAATAAGCGTTTTTTTTCGAAACTAATGACGCGAGCATTGTGTTTGCGTGTTGGGGGGGGGGGGCTGCGCCCCCCCCAGACCCCGCTTTTCAAATCGCGCAAGCTTGCTTCAAAGCATACGTCTTTTCGAGACCCATGATGCGAGCATTGTGTTTGCAACTGGGGGTCTTCTACTACTACTACTACTACTACTACTACTACTACTACTACTACTACTACTACTACTACTACTACTACTACTACTACTACTACTACTACTACTCCTACTACTGCTACTACTACTTCTCCTGCGACTACGATTACGACTACTGCTGCTGCTGCTCCCTACTACTACTACTACTACTACTACTACTACTACTACTACTACTACTACTACTACTACTACTACTACTACTACTACTACTACAGCAACAACTATTATTATTATTACTACTACTACTACTACTACTGATATATTATATATTGTATACTATATTTGGTTGTTATTTATTATATACGACCATTATTATGTATTATATATTTTAAAATTCGGTCTTAGATATTAAGTATCATGTATTATATTTATCTATATATATATATATCTTATTATATACAGTATATATATATGTTAGATAATATATAGACATTAGACATTAAATATTAAATATTATATATTATATGTTATGTATTATAAAAGAAATAGTTTATATTATATGATATTATATCATAAACTATTATCTTAAATTATATTACATTATAGTGTATTCTATGTTATTGTATTATATTATTCATAATGTATCTTATATCATATGTTTAAATATTTTTTTAAAAATATTATATTATATATTCCTTGATAATATAATATATTGTATTATATCGTACATGATATGTTGAAGATTAACATGAATATAAATAAATCATAAATATAGAGATGCATAATATATTGGTCGATCGCGTCGCGAGCAACATACCAAAACTCGAGTTTAAGCGCCTCGAGATGCGTTTCGTGTGAGGGGGTTGTCGATCGTGCTCCGAAAACGTCCCAAAACTCGAGTTTTGGCGCCTCGAGATGCGTTTCGTGTGAGAGGGAGGGTCGTCAATCGTGCCCGGAAAACCTTTCCAAAACTCGAGGGTTAGCGCCTCGACACGCGTTTCGTGTGAGAGGGTCCTCGATCGGGTTCCGAAAACGTACCAAAAATCGAGTTTTAGTACTCGAACGTTCGAAGTTTATTTTCTTTTTGATCCTTTTTTATTTATTTTTTGATCCTGGGCTGCGTAATTTTTTTTTGATCCTTTTTTATTTTTTTTTGGATCCGGCAGCCGGCCTCAGCATGTCAGAGCGAAGCCACCAGCGGCAGCATGCGCTCGTCACGAAAAGGAAGGATGGCGCGCTGAATCACTCTTTTCCAGGGGGAGAATGTTTCACTTGTCAACCTCTTTTGTTCGACTGCTTGTTCAAGTAAGAATGGTATGTCTCGGAGCCACGTCGAATGTTCTGTTGATCCAACACAGCGCCAACCCGAACTTGTTGCTTGGAGAGGAATACTGCAGACACCTAGGTGAACCTAAACAGGAGATGGAAGCAAGACGAAGGAAGATGGAGGAAAGGATCGAGCAGCTGCCCTGAGCTTAGCCCAGTTCAAGGCTCGCCACAGCTTGGCCTCTTGCTGGTGATCAGTTGTGTGTCCCGGAGGCGGGAGAACTACAATCCTGCCAAATGGCTCATTGGCTTCGTTTCGGCGGTGCAACCAAATGCTGTCTACGTCGGTGTCATAGACGGGCAGGAGATTCACGCTGCATTAGTGGATCCTCTAAATTTTCTGTCTTTCGTGATGTTTGCTCATGGGGAGGGAGGTGGGCTGACCCAGATCTTCCCTTCTTGAGTCATCTTTGGCTCATTTTCTCTGTTGTTTGTTTACGGTCCATTGCTAGGCTAGCTTGTCAGGATGCGAGGATACCACTCAAGGAGCTGCCCGAGAAGTTCTTGATCTCCGGCCAGTCAGAAGAGACCAACGAGGCCGATGAAACCTGGAACAAGCTTCACAGTAACGAACAGCCAGAAGAATGTTGATCAGTCACCACCTTTGTGTCTTCATTTGACTGGTAAATTTTCTGGGGAGCCCTTCAGCACCGATTGTGCATCACAGCTCCATGCCTGGGCAGTTCTCCCAATGATGAGCCCTTTTAGGAAACTCGCCTTGTTGGAATTTACTCGGGACCAACATTTTAGCGTGGGCCACGCATGTTCCCAGCAAGCCCAAGCCACTGAGTGAAGCTTGCAAGATATTGCACTTCTACTGTGTCTCCTCCTCTTTTCGCCCAGGACGAGGAAGGGAGATCGTGTGAGGAATAGTCTCTTTGCAAGCCTTCCCCGACCCCCACCCCCCTGTCACTCAGAGATGGTTTTGTCGAGTGATGGGTCCGTACCCTGCAACAGTCAGACAGACAGACAGAGTTGTTCAACTACGAGTACTGCGAGTATGGGCTGGCGACGTGAATTCGCCGAACTTCAAGCAAACCCTATGCATAGTGCGATTGCTATGACCTCACATCGACGCAGAAATACCAATGCGCTTAAGCTCTCCCATCTGGCGAGGACCAAATCAAGCCAGCCTTAGAGATTGGTCAGGCGGGCTATGGCGGGCTAGAGCTCAGCAAGTGAATGTTTCGACGATTCCGGGTGAGAGGCGGTCCAGTTTCGACTGGTTCGCTACTCCTGGGAATCTGTGCCCTGCCAAGTGTTGCAGCAAGTACTGCGGAACTATGCGTGGTGCGCATGGCTGCTTCTCCAGCTGTAGCTTCGTGGCAGGAAAGTTTTACCGCATCTATGCTGCCTCCCGTGGAGAGACAACAAAGGCCAGGCAGCGCAATTTCTGATTCATGGTCGAAGCCTCACAGGCCGGCTTGTGCCTAAAGGTCTCGCCAGAAGGACCGTTCAGTCGACATCGAGTTGGAAAGGCCATGGACGCGAAGCTTCGCATGAATCTATCATATAAGAAACGGGAAGAATTTTGAGCATTCTCACGAAGACGAAGTTGTCAGACCACCATCGCCGGATCGGTCGGAAGGAGCTCAAGCGTGGGCCGCAAAGGTCGGGGCAGCATTTTCTCAGTTGCGCTTTGCCTGCTGGTCGCAAGACTCATGGGAAGCATGTGCAGGGATACAGCGTCGTGACGCACGAAGCTGCCGTGGAGCTCAATGATTGGCTTCGATCCAGAACTGAGGCATTCTTTGCTACAACTGCTTCGGCACGTTGGCTACTCTGTTCTGTCTTCCGCACCTGAAAAAGGAGAAGAAGTCCACAAAAGGATCCAAGGCCCTGGTCAAGGCGCCTGCACAAGACTACAGGAATGTTTGGCGTGATTGCTTTGACCGGGCTTTCAGACCAGCAACAAGACGTACCTGGTCAGCGTAGTTCGGGGCATGAACACCAAGGCAACAAGTTGCCCAGCGTTCATTGTCTGAAGCATGCAGTCAGTGAAGTCTCTGGAGCAGCGCACACCTGTTCCTGTACATGTGCCAGGCTGTCGGCAGTATTGATGTGGAAAAGAATGTTTCGGAGAAGGAGGCCGTGCCTTTTGTGCAAAAAAGATAATGTGTTTTCGAAACCATGCACAGGTGAAACAAGCCGCAGTGGACTTGCTCTTCAAGCAAAGCCTGCTGAAGGCCCTTTTCTGTGAATGCGGCAAGCGTAGGCAGCACTGGTATAGGCTATGCTTACGAAGATTGCAAAACAGAAGATGTGGTGGGCTGAGTTTGGTGCCCGTGGCCAGGCGGGCGAGCAGCATAAAGGTATTGTCATCACGAAGAATATCATCAGCATCAAGCTGTGAAAGGTGAGCCATGGGCAGTTGGTAGCTGTGTTTGTACATACATGGAGCTCGCAGAACACATGCTGAGCACTGCGCAGCCCAACCGAAAAGAGGCAGAAACTGCCGCTCCATTCTGTTGGTTCTAAAAGCTTGTCTGGTGTGCCAGTCCCAAGGACGCAATATATAATGATAAATATTTCTTTTTGTCGAACTCGCCTGGATCGAAGATGGGGATCTTCGGCTAATCAAAATAATGTCTCAAGAATTGATCTCAATCCAATCAATATAAGATATCTATGAATCATTTTTCTGGATGATTATGGAGATTTTAATTATTATCCCATTCTATATATCTATCAATATGAGAGGCCATATAAAGTTCCTTTGAAGGGAAGTTCTGTCAAGCAACTCTTGGTGCTCTCCAACTATGGTGCTTCTAAAAGCGAAGCCGTAATTGAGAGCGAGAGATTATTCTACTTACTCGTACATGGGCGCGGCTCAAAAGTATAGGTATGTAACTGGCTCCCGGGCGTATTTCTACGATATAGGGTTTGTAACAAAGCTGTTCTGCTTGCGACAACAGCAACTGCTTTGCGACAAGCCTCCGCGACAAGTCTCTGCGACAAGCCTCGTCTTGGACTTATAGCCTTCGACTACGTAGGCATTTGGATAGCGCGCGAAACAGCCGCAATGACAAACCCCACGACATATGTATGAAACAAGTGGGCGCGACACACGTATATGACCCAGGCGGTGATCGAGACACTGTTTCTTAAGAACCGCAACCATATCTTTCTTCTCTCCATATATATCTCGGTAATATAGGCTCTATATTGATGGCTCGAGGATTTGAAGATCTGAATTGATGGAGAATATGATTTGGGAGATTATATCTTCAATTCTTTATTTTTCTGGATTAATGAAAGTATCGTTTGGCGGAAGATTTTCATTGGGTATTATTGATAAAAATTAATGAAGAAAAATCGTATCAGATTTA